CACCAATAACAAGTTACTAATTAGTATGCATTTCGAGAAATTGCTGTCTTTGTGCATATTGCAGTTAGAAATGGAATGCAATAAAATCCTGCCAGAAACTAGTAGCGCCAAACTGGTTGTCGGTTGAATTGTTTTGCAATAGTAACAATTTTAGAGCCTTCATGAGGGAATCCCTACTTGGGTCTATTGTTACCTCTGTCGACGAACACACTATGCAAATATTTTCATCAATATAAAGACCACATCATATAAAACATTAGAAAATACGTATACGATGGCTTTTATCGACTCATATTTCCTTCGTATATTATGTCCGAATCGGAAATGTATCCCATAATATTCACCCTAGTATTATTATTACGTTTGCTTAGCAAAACGTCCCATTCGATAATTCTTACCAATGTAGAGCACTTATGTTTAAACATTGAACCTTGTACGATTTGAAACTTGCCTTATTTGGTAATAGTATGGCACAAGACCAATGATACACCATTCTTATATGTCGCGCCCTCTATTGACGGAACGCTTTTGTGACGTCAAAATGACCTATATGGTGAAGGTATTGTCGTTCAAATCGACAACTGTCTTTGGTTGTGTAGTCGTTCATTTTCTAGAATAAACACAATCTTTATTGACGGACGACAATAGATCAAAGTATGCTAACGACTTGAATAGAAACGTCATAGAAACGCTTCGTCGATAGAGGGCGCAACTACAGTTCCTAACATTTTCATGTGGTCACTAGCAACTTGCTGATTTTCGTACAATCAGTCCTACTCCAATCTTAGAGAAAAATATAATGCCTTAAATAATATAGTTAATATGACACTTCGTTGAAATATCTCCATTTAACGAGGTCGCTGGGCGGAATCCCAGTGCGCGTTTTCTTGTTATCCGTCTCTCTAGAAAAGAACACCCCGCACGTTGGTTTGCCGAGCGTTGAGAACGGGGTTATCGAGTTGGGTCGTTTGTGGTCTATCTTGCCAACGTGGAGCCATGTTGGTTTGGGAGCTGGTAAGGGCACGGAAGCCGACACTGCTATCGGAGGAAAGGATACTTTTTTATTCCTCTTGCGTTTTTCTTCCTCATTTTGCGTGTATTGTCTCCGTTTCATTAACAAGGTCCACGAATGCGACAAAGAGCTCAGACTCCGTTGGTAGTCCGGTGTGTGCAGTGGCGATGCTGTGGATGACAGGCTTCGTCTATGATTCGATTTCGGCGCGGATACTATTACATTTGGGGTGATTAGCGGGGGACGCTGGTGATGTCCGGAGAAACTGCAGTTAATCATACCACGGTAACCAGAGTTCGGCATATTTGTAACAGTTATTTGTGCGTTTCTTTTCAGCTCTTTCATATATTTTCGATATTATAAAATGTACTGAACCAATATCCCTTTCCGTTGACGTGCTTCTGCTTTTACTTCGTTATTTGAAGAACAGCCATGACAGTCGACTCTCAGATAGATGCAGTTAATTTAATTTAATTAAATTGATTATTCAAAAGCTCTCAAAATCATGTTGTTTTAGCCGAAGATCTCAATTCCTGAAGTTGGCACTAAAAATATACCAGTTGTGTGTGTGTCATCGCTATACACTCCGAGCTCCTTCTCGACCTAAAGCTGAAGGGGCATACACGTTCCTGTGAGCTGATCAAGGTACTAGGCAGCGACACGATCTAGCCAACACGGAAGGCCATGAAGGCAGTTCCAGTTAAATTCTTGAGTACTACCGCAAAGCAGGTTACGATGCGGTCACTACGTCTGTGCCTTTATTGCGATGCACGGTTCACTTCAGTCACATAGTAAAGTCCATGGAAAGTCAAAACATCCAAGTCGTATACTTCAGTGCTGTTGCAACTTTGAACAAATCTTCGGGCCAGTTTGCAAGAGTTAACAGCAGTTCAAACTCGGTAGCATACTACTGAGAACGTAGTCTCAGCAGAGTTTTCTCCTGGAAATGACTGATTATGATTTGTAACCTAACGTTTTTGTTTATCGCCACCGGCTGGAAACAATGCGGCTCGTGTTTCCTTGGGCGTTTCGACTTCTAATAAGTGACGAGTCGCTACCTGCAAAAAACGACAGCAGGTGATCGATACTCGTCACGTGATCCCACCACACAATGAGCAAGGAGTATCATTCCCAAATGGCTTTATGGCCATTGCACTAATAGACATCGTACACCGTTATTGCCATGGCGATCATCGATCGCAAATGACCCGCGGAACCAAAGTGCGCATGCGTGTCCCGTGACAAATACAACGTGCTCGAGGCAACGGACACTCTTAATCTCGACGCGACGTAACTACTACTTTATTTTATTTTGTTTTCGATTTATCAAGTGACGACATTAAAACGAAGCAATGCAACCCGGTGAACGATTTAGTACGCATACGTAACCACAGATGGTTGCATCACGTGATCATACGTTCATTCAAAGATAGGCTACGATTATGAGAGACGAATATCGTTGTGACATTTTTCTTCGACATGGAACGACAGAACTGTGCTTTTAACATCGACGAAGACAACTTACCTCTACCAGATATGTCATCGTGATTTGAAGTTCTACTCTTCATTTTTGTGAAAATATAAAAATATACTAAAATCTTGAGAAAAAAATTAATCCGTGATTATATCTACATACTGCATGCGATTATTATATTCAGTAATCCCCTAAGCTATCACGAACACATGTTTTTTTCATACATTTCAATGAATTAATCTGTTATGTACCTTTCTTTCAATTGATTTAATTCTAATTAAATTTTCCGACTCTCATTGATGGAAAAACGAAGATGAATGTGTTGCTTTTAAATTGAAA